CAAGGGTGGAAACTGGACTTTTAAAGTCAGTTAACTCTCTTGCCTCGGGAAGATGCTTATCATTACAATCAAATTTTATGGGGATTGTGTCTTTGTTTGCAGTTTGTGTGGCTATTTCTGTTTAAAGGGTGTACATATTCCATAGTTTGGTAGCTCTCTGCTGTTTTTCTTTTGTAGACCCGAACATATGTCTTTAACAAACTGCAGTTCAACAGGTCCCCTGAAACATGAGGCAATACTATTAGAGAAAATCAGCTTACTGCCTCCAAAACCCTTAAAAAATTAGGAATAATCTCTTAAGAATTAAAAATGTATTCTATGTGTAGGAATATATTTTTCTACAATTAATTTGCCCAACATGGATACATAGTTATACACTAGAGCACATACAAGGCAATCATTAACAATAATATGTTACACATTATCATAAAAACGTTTTTTTGCGATACATTTTATATTCAACTTTGGTTTGTAGTTGGGGTGAAAAAATGAACAGACAATTCAGAATATTTTTCCATAACTGAATGAATGTTACCATGGTTACCAAGTGTCCAGTGTTAGTTAAATTCTTGAAGTTTAACCTTCATGTATGCACAATTTTTGTAAGGTGAACAAGTAACATTGCATTTGCAGAACTAAATATAGAATTTATTTGAACAGAAAGTTGTATTTACATTTGACAAGTTTGATTCCAAGACTGCACATTTTAAAGCCAGCTCAATATTTAGCAAAAGGGCTTAAGAACAGAAAATTAAAACACTTTTAAGCACATGGGCTTAAATCAAGTTGAAAAATCGACTGATCTCCCTTACCGCAAGTGCTTCAACGTGTGTTGTAGCACGCTTCTATATGGCCAATATTGCACCTTAAGTGCCGTCAGCGTTTCCACATTTACAAGCCACATTGGACCCCTAATGTAGGTGATATTTTGGACATGCAGTGTGACAATTTAAACACATATGACAGACACTCACAGCTGCAATATACGTTTGTTGTGTTACTTTTTAGACAGCTGTTGTTTCAATTTTGAACATGTTCTTGACTCATAATTTTCAACTTGCAAAAAAAATCTTAATTTAAAATATTGATCTTTCATTCCATTTGTGAGTATTGTTTCATTAAACTTGGGATATACATTCTTCCTATCATGTTTTTGTCCTTTTTTGTTTTTAAGTCCTGGGCTTGATTTTTTATGAAATGTCATTCATTTAAAAAAAAGGCAAAATCTGTAATTAAGCCCAGGGCTTAAAAACGTGCAGTTCCAGTTGCATTTAACAAATTAATAGCATGGAGATGAGTTGGATGAAAGACAATAGGTAAATATGTACCTCTTGGAAAATATATACATACAAATACATTTTCTTGTTATGTTAATACATGTACCACGAGATGATTTGTAGAAAATTATGACAATTGGTATGAAAGTTTCACCTGTTATCATGGTTTATGTGAAGAATAAAACTCATCTCTGAGATTTAAGAGATATAAAACCCAGAGCTGGGGGATAAAACCCAGCATCATCAGCCCGTAGGGCTGCAACGATACAGGAAGGTCACGATACGATATGTATCTCGATATTCTGGTCACGATACGATACGTATCTCGATACGCAACAATAAAAAAGTGTACTCCAGTACACCAGCATATATTAAATTTCAAGGCTTCAAACATGTCAGGATTGGACCTTTCATGATTTTGGAACAGTCAAAATTATTTTATAATAACAAAGACTACTTGTCAAGCTTCTAAATGGAACTTTCTCTCACCCTCCGTCAAAACATGCCAAATTTCAAAACAGCAGGAAACTTCAAAGTTCAAACACCAGAAAATAATCAATGCACTTCGCAGTGTGAATAGTTCAACTTCAGGTTCTTTTTCAGAAAAATTAAAATGTCAACATTTTCAGGGACAGTGATATCCTCTCTTAACGGAGGTGGAGTCGTAGGGGGTAAGATGACCAACACAACAGTACATACTCTGCCTACCTAACACGATCTACGATGTATGCTTCAGAGTTTGAAAAAGGATTAGAATATTGTAAAAAACATATTTATCGAGTGTTATGCGCTTTTGAAAAATACACATTGTATCCCTTCAGCGAATTCAGGTGAATAAACAGGCATTACAAACCTAGTCAATAAAAATATGAAATTTTATATAAAACATCACCAGACACGATGATTTACCATTATCATTCTATTTCCTGCTCTCCAAGGCATTGTTTTATATGCAGAGATTAAGATTGTTGTGTGTACTGCCTCGTAAACTAAGCCGGAAATAGCAACCAGCTGTACACAGGTTTTCTCCCAATCTACCGGTGATTCAGTTAAAACATACCCAGTGATATAACTTCAAAGAATTTGGATGCAATGGTCTGAAGAAATTGTATCTGAAATTATTGTTTTATCAGGAATAACATATTTCAATATCGTGTTGCAATCTGACCATGGTTGCTGTAAATAACGGTGAGTTGTGCAAACTACTGATCACTTCACAAACGATTTTGCCAAAATTAATGTACCGGTAAACAATATTGAATGAAATTTTGAATAAAATTAATAAAATTTATTACAAACATTAGTTCAGATATACAATGAACACGTTTTTATAACCAGATCGTATATTAATAGGATTGAATTGCGTACTTGAGTTTGGATTTATTGACTGGTATTTCCTGTGTTCCCTGCTCGCGCTGATGGTTTTTTGTGATTGGGAGAAACATCCTGTCAGTGAAGAAACTTGAGCTTATTAAAATGTATGTAAGTTTTGGAAGCCATGTGTTTCCACGCTCTATAACAGAGTTGGCGCTATATTGAAAGGCGCAATAGCCAGGGAACATTTTAGTAAGATGCGCATTCCATATCGTGGCGTATCGATAAATAGACCCACGTGTATCGTGTATCGTATCGTTGGTCAAGTATCGCGATGCATCAGAATATTGGTGTATCGTTTCACCCTTATCAGCCCGGTGGTTTTATTCCAAGGAAGAGGGTTTTATTCTTACAAAACCTCCAGGGAAAGTGTTTAACTGACTGTTGCACTTGAAAATACTTTAAATTGATGAATATCTATGTACACATTTTTATCCTCTTCCAGAGGCAAGGGAGTTAACTGACTGTAAAAGTCCAGTTTCCACCCATGCCGCACTAGGCTCCAATTTCTGGACTCATTCATAGCGCCACCAGTGGCTATTACAAGTTATGTCCCTTCTTTGACCCTCCCACCTTCCCGGGGCAAGGGAGTTAACTGACTATAAAAGTCCAGTTTCCACCCTTGCCGAACTAGGCTGGAATTCCAGGGTTACATTTTGCATAGTCCAATCAAAATCGCATTACGAAATAATATTTCAACATGCAGATTTCGGTTGACTGCAGGCTTTGAAAAGCATGTGTACTGCCAGCTTGCCTTCGACAGATAGTTTGCAAATCTTTTTATGTTTTTAATAAAGGTGCTTAAATGATTTGATGCACTTTGTGGGGTAAGACACGTTTTATTACAATATAGATCTCGATTAATGATCAGATGGTCTTGACTGGACTGACATTTTGTTTCAAGCAAATGCAAGCGATATGAGTGAAGGAATCTGATTGGTCAATAGGAGGGACATAGAAGGGACATAACTCGTAATGACCACTGGTGGCGCTAGGATCGAGCAAGGGTGGAAACTTGACTTTGTTAAGTCAGTTAACGCCCTTGCCTCGGGAAGACGTGTCCCTCCTCTTGACCAATCAGATATCACCTCTCATATCGCATTTGCTTAAAAAAAAATGTCAGTGCCCAGTCAAGACGATCTGATTAATAATGAAATCTTTATTATAATAAGACATGTCTTACTTAGCGAAGTGCATCAAATCACCTGAGCACCTTGATTAAAAACATGAAAATATTTGGGATATATATGTTGATGCTAATTTGACAGAACACATTTTTTGTAAATCTGCAATTGACCAAAATCTGCACTGCAGTTTATGAACCAGATGTCAATTTCGTTACACGATTTCGATTGGACTATGCATAGACTCATTAGTTCAGCCAAAATATAACACCATAATTCCAGCCTAGTTTGGCAAGGGGGGAAACTGGATTTATATTGTCAGTTAACTCCCTTGCCTCAGGAAGATGATTTTCATAAACAAAAAACACTTGCACAAATACAATGCACGAGCTGCAAGCACTGGTCGAGAGTTCAGTTCTTTGTCCTCTATTCAGAATTGAACTTGATCAGCACCATGTCAATTTTTCACATGCAACACAACTTTCCCCTGACAACATTCTCTCAACTATTGGCTTTAGACGACAAGGTGTCTCTGTTCCTTTATATCACACACTGCCAATAATAAGTTATAACACTCAAATGTATGACTTCAAAAATATTTTCCCACAGTTTGCAACACCCCAGTGACTGAAGTGGTAGTAGTTTGAGAATCATTATCGAAATGTCATGCGACGTGTAGGGGTTCAAAGTTCAAACCTCAGCAAAGCAAAATATTTTTTAAGGACAGTGAGTGAGTGAGTTGGGTTTAACTCTGCTTTTAACATGATTACAGTTATATCACAGCGTGTCAGCTTAATGTGGGAGGAAAGCCCGAAGTGCTGTAGGTCTCAGACGTTTACCACTTTTGGTGAAACCCACAAGCATGGGTATGGTGCTGACAAACCTAGAAACATAATCGGAGCGAACCGGGATTCCAACCCACAATCATAGGTTTCTGGCACGCCCAAGAGATGCACAGCGAATCGCGGCGCCTTAGACAACTGGGCCACCCGTGCCCACCCCGTTCTGATGTGATCTTCTTTGGAGGGGGGGCACGGGTGGCCCAGTCGTCTAAGGCGGCGCGATTCACTGTGCAGAGTTGCGTCCCTTGGGCACGCCAGAAACCTATGATTGTGGGTTCGAATCCCGGTTCGCCCCTATTATGTTTCTAGGTTTGTCAGCACCATACCCGTGCTCGTGGGTTTCACTGAAGTGGTAAACGTCTAAGACCTGCATCACTTCGGGCTTTACTCCCACATTAAGCTGACACGCCGTGATATAACTGGAATACTGTTAAAAGCGGCGTTAAACCCAACTCACTCACTCTTTGGAGGTGTCTTCACAACTTCACACAGCGAGGAATCACATCGGAGTAAGTGATCTGATTTGAATGAGATTGGACATATAAAAACACATGAACAACTTTCGGGAAGACCTCAGGAAATTCACTACAGAACAGAGAGCTTTGTCGTTGCCAATCACAGTATAATATCCAACTAATTATAAATTCAACTCCAAAAAGTTGAATGTCACCTTTCTCAAACGTAATACAGTATTCTCACACAATCCAAAGTCCAGACTTCCCAGCTTCTGATCCTGGACCCCCTTGCACAAAGCGATCTTATTCCGAAGATGATGGTAACTCCCATACTTTAACATAGGCTTACAATAGTCACTGAAGATGTTGTTGAACTGGGCCCACTTGTACAAAGCGATCTTAGCGCTACGACTATTGTAAGCCTATGTTAAAGTGTGGGAGTTACCATCATCTTAGGGCTAAGATCGCTTTGTGCAAGTGGGCCCAGTTCAACAACATCTTCAACCAGTCAGCCTGCACACACCAATCACACATTAAAGATCTTCCACTCCACCCACCCTGTCCAGATCGACTCAATGCTAAGATGACAAGTTAGACGTCGTTCTCTGTATAGAATGACGCCCATCTTTAGCATCAGTCATCTTTGCTTCAGGTGGGAACGGCTCTGAGGAACCCACTTGCAATCTCTGTTGGGTCTCTACACCCAATTTAAACACTTTCGCAACAACAATGAATAAAATAAGTCCGACTAGCTCCACCCCAGCCAGCAGGTAAAAGTAATAGTCGAGGTGACAAGCTTGATTCCTAACGTCCCCTTTGGGTTCCTCTTCGCAAGCCAGACGGCAGTTGATGTCACCAAAATCAGAGGAGTGGAACCATGTGTTGGTGCTGTAGAAGCCGGAGATGAAAGCTGTTCCCAGGAAGCTGCCGATCCCGGAGGAGAAGTAGAACAGCCCCATGATAATGCCCTTCATTGACTTCGGTGCCATGGAGTAGGCAAACTGGAGGCCTGGAACAGATGGGGAAACCCTCACTCCACCTGCACAAGGATTCATATTTAGCAACAACAAGTTCAGGATATCATGCATATATACACAATCCTCCGCCAATAGGACATGTCCGGGCATTAGCCCTCCAGAAAGGAGCATTACCGCCATTTTCAGTCTGAGTCAAAGTCGTTGCCATGGAAACTCGAAACTTTTCAAAAATCACAAACTACCAGTTCAAATTAACGAATGTCATATGAAAGAATCAGGTGATCATAACTTTCTTTGAGGGGACCTACAAGGGGACCTACCTGCCACAATGGTGAACACCTCACTGGTGCCTATCAGGGCATACCGGGGGACATACCAGGCATGTGGTGAACACCTCACTGGGGGACCTACCTGCCACGCTAGTGAACACCTCACTGGTGCCTATCAGGGCATACTGAGGGACCTACCTGCCACGCTGGTGAACACTTCACTGGGGGACCTACCTGCCACACTGGTGAACAATTCACTGGTGCCTATCAGGGCATACCGGGGGACCTACCAGGCATGTGGTGAACACCTCACTGGGGGACCTACATGCCACGCTGGTGAACACCTCACTGGTGCCTATCAGGGCATACCGGGGGACCTACCTGCAACGCTGGTGAACACCTCACTGGTGCCTATCAGGGCATACCAGGGGACCTACCTGCCACGCTGGTTAACACTTCACTGGGGGACCTACATGCCACACTTGTGAACAATTCACTGGTGCCTATCAGGGCATACCGGGGACCTACCTGCCACGCTGGTGAACACTTCACTGGTGCCTATCAGGGCATACCGGGGACCTACCTGCCACGTGGTGAACACCTCACTGGTGCCTATCAGGGCATACTGAGGGACCTACCTGCCACGCTGGTGAACACCTCACTGGGGGACCTACCTGCCACGTGGTGAACACCTCACTGGTGCCTATCAGGGCATACCAGGGGACCTACCTTCCACGCTGGTGAACACCTCACTGGGGGACCTACCTGCCACGTGGTGAACACCTCACTGGTGCCTATCAGGGCATACCGGGTGACCTACCAGGCATGTGGTGAACACCTCACTGGGGGACCTACCTGCCACGCTGGTGAACACCTCACTGGTGCCTATCAGGGCATACCGGGGGACCTACCTGCCACGCTGGTGAACACCTCACTGGTGCCTATCAGGGCATACCAGGGGACCTACCTGCCACGCTGGTGAACACCTCACTGGTGCCTATCAGGGCATACCAACCTACCTGCCACGCTGGTGAACACCTCACTGGTGCCTATCAGGGCATACCGGGGACCTACCTGCCACGCTGGTGAACACCTCACTGGTGCCTATCAGGGCATACCGGGGACCTACCAGGCACATGGTGATCACCTCACTGGGGGACCTACCTGCCACACTGGTGAACACCTCACTGGTGCCTATCAGGGCATACCGGGGGACCTACCTGCCACGTGGTGAACACCTCACTGAGGGACCTACCTGCCATGCTGGTGAACACCTCACTGAGGGACCTACCTGCCATGCTGGTGAACACCTCACTGGGGGACCTACCTGCCACGTGGTGAACACCTCACTGAGGGACCTACCTGCCACGTGGTGAACACCTCACTGGGGGACCTACCTGCCACAATGGTGAACACCTCACTGGTGCCTATCAGGGCATACCGGGGACCTACCAGGCACATGGTGAACACCTCACTGGTGCCTATCAGGGCATACCGGGGGACCTACCATGCATGTGGTGAACACCTCACTGGGGGACCTACCTGCCATGCTGGTGAACACCTCACTGGTGCCTATCAGGGCATAACGGGGACCTACCTGCCACGCTGGTGAACACCTCACTAGTGGACCTACCTGCCACAATGGTGAACACCTCACTGGTGCCTATCAGGGCATACCGGGGGACCTACCAGGCACGTGGTGAACACCTCACTGAGGGACCTACCTGCCACACTGGTGAACAATTCACTGGTGCCTATCAGGGCATACCGGGGGACCTACCTGCCACGCTGGTGAACACCTCACTGGTGCCTATCAGGGCATACCGGGGGACCTACCAGGCATGTGGTGAACACCTCACTGGGGGACCTACCTGCCATGCTGGTGAACACCTCACTGGTGCCTATCAGGGCATACCAAGGGACCTACCTGCCACGCTGGTGAACACTTCACTGGTGCCTATCAGGGCATGCCGGGGACCTACCTGCCACGCTGGTGAACACCTCACTGGTGCCTATCAGGGCATGCCGGGGACCTACCTGCCACGCTGGTGAACACTTCACTGGTGCCTATCAGGGCATACCGGGGACCTACCTGCCACGCTGGTGAACACTTCACTGGGGGACCTACATGCCACGCTGGTGAACACTTCACTGGTGCCTATCAGGGCATACTGAGGGACCTACCTGCCACGCTGGTGAATACCTCACTGGTGCCTATCAGGGCATACTGAGGGACCTACCTGCCACGCTGGTGAACACTTCACTGGTGCCTATCAGGGCATACTGAGGGACCTACCTGCCACGCTGGTGAACACCTCACTGGGGGACCTACCTGCCACGCTGGTGAACACCTCACTGGTGCCTATCAGGGCATACTGAGGGACCTACCTGCCACGCTGGTGAACACCTCACTGGTGCCTATCAGGGCATACCGGGGACCTACCTGCCACGCTTGTTAACACCTCACTGGTGCCTATCAGGGCATACCGGGGACCTACCTGCCATGCTGGTGAACACTTCACTGGTGCCTATCAGGGCATACCGAGGGACCTACCTGCCACGCTGGTGAACACTTCACTGGTGCCTATCAGGGCATACTGAGGGATCTGCCACAGGATGCTGAAGTCTGCTGCTTGGTACGTTGTATTTCCTGGAAACAATCATACCGGGGTTACAAATGATAAAATGTGTTCAAGGTGCCTGAAATAATAGCCTATTTCTAAAAATACCTTTTGACATTCATAAATGGTTCAGAAACATCATAATGACTGCCCTGTGGCACACTTGAAACAAAATACATTTCTATTCCTGCAGGAATATAGACAAGTCAGACAAGCTACATCACTTGATTCTTAATTATGCCTCAAAGTGAGTTTGACCATTCAGAGAGCAGAAGTACTAACCCCATATGAGCCTGTATACCATCAGTAAAAATCCAAGATGGTTGTTACTGACCTTATATGAGACCTTATACCGTCAGTTACAGCCATTTTGGATTTTCCAACACCCACCTCACATATATTTCACATGAAAATTCTGGTACAGAAATTTGTTATTCAACAGTGTTTTGTGTTTTAATATCATTAATTTTGATGTGCAAGGACGTTAATGTCTCTTTGGATCACTTTTCGTGACTTTGATAAAGATTATGTGAGGTTAAAACTATCAACAAGGTTTGGCCTCTGAGGAAGAGTAGTCTCCCTTTGACCCTTAACGTCTTAGGTTGCAAGTGTTAAGTTTCGACATGACATGTCCGACAAAGTTACCAAATAGTGTAAACTTTTCGGCATAAATATTTGCTATGGTGGCTTTAGTTGCTGTATACGGAGTCATATTAGGGGAGCAGAAAACTATTGGGCAAGGCAAACCTAATATGGCACTGTATATGGCAACTAAAGTTGGTTGGTTGGTTTGTTAATCAATGCCGCACTCAGCAATATTCCAGCTATATGACGGCAGTCTGGACCAGACAATCCAGTGATTGAAATCATGAGCATTGATCCATGTGATCTTACGACAAGCATAGTCGCCTTTTATGGCAAGAATGGGTTGCTGAAGACCTATTCTACCCACAGGAACGAACTCGTTATTGGTCAGTAAATAAAAATATATACCCCCTATATGTAAGTAGAAAAAAGGAGCGTCACTCGCCATCTTGCGGGTTTGTTTACATTCGATATCCAAGGTGATTTTTTTATTATACGCTCATTGACAAGCGCATTTCTGGCCGTAGATTGATCGATAACACATTTTTACACATGTACAAGTCATCTACATTCGATCAATGTCCCTTACTTACCAAAATATCGACAGTTTATTGCGCTAGCTTAGAAAATGTTACCAACCCCGAGCCGAAGTAGATGTCAAACGCGGGCAGAATCGAGAATGTGATTCTACCCCTGATCTTCACGGCAACTAAAGACACCATAACAAATAATATACTGTAAATTATGAAATTAATGTGTCTATGTGGTGAGCAGTGTTTGATCAACTTGATCAGCTTGTGTTAACCAAATGACCACACTTGATGTGAAACTTGGTGACAAGCACTGTTTAAATCAAGCCATGTCCAGTGTGAGCTTTGTTATACATGGCATTGTCTCCGCCCATGTGCTGTGAACCTGCCTTGACATTATACTCCATTATTACTCATTGGGTTAGAAATAACAAAGTTCATAAAAATTTTATGTACACTAGTGCGGATATCACTTCTCGCGCATCAGTTTATTGTTTCCGCAATCTGGAAGGCATTGTTGACATCATTCGAATCTCATTGTGACGTAACGTTGGAATGACGTCACACTACAAGCATGGGTTGCAGAGAGGTATGTATACTGCGAGAGTCAACAATCTCAATTTAATGATACTGTATCAAAATCTAACACTGACTTACCGATTTTCTGGTTTATGGAATGGTTCGTGCATGTACTGTTAGGATATGGCCAGAAGGCCTCCAATCGGTAGTGCTCCACCACTCCAGCCACTATCATAGCCGCCATTGCAAATACCATTCCTACAATGATACGCTTAGTCATTCCGAAGGGGCGTCCAGCCTTGGCCAGACGAGGGTAGATGACCCGGTCAAACAGCGGCAGCAGCAGGATGAGGAAGACAACATCGAACAGGGAGAACCAAGCCACCACCAACTGAAAACATGAGTGAGTGAGTGAGGTTTTACACCGTTTTTAGCAATATTCCAGCAATATCATGTCAGGGGACACCAGAAAGAGGCTTCGAACATTGTACCCATGTTGGGAATCAAAACCGGGTCTTCAGCATGAAGAGCAAACCCTTAACCACTAGGCTACCCCGCCACGCCCTGAAAACATGAAGATTGATGAAAGAAATATTTAAGGATCGGCAGTCACTTTTTAGGGCCCATGTTGTTTTTTAAGAAAAACTTAGCAACATTCCAGCCTTATGACAGTCCTGAAAATAATCATGTTTGGACCAGACAAACCAGTGATTGATATCATGAACAACGTCCCAAAACAACACAATCAACTAAATTACTACCCAATGAATCCATAAAGTCGCCTCTTCTCCTATTCTAATCTGGAATCCATCCATGTGCCTAAAAAATGTGTATATCAGATGTGCTTATGTTAAAGGATGTAAATGATTCAGTTTTATCCGCTTGTATGTTTTCAGTTTATCATTACACCCAGTACAAATGGGCTATGTGTTTTCAGGAGGAACTGAACATTTGAACAAGATAACATAGTCAAAGATAAATTCAGCTAGGGATTCAGCAATTTTTTTAATTCTACTTGCACCTTTGTAACTATAGTAGGGTCCCCTAAAAAGCATACCTAAAAAATCTCAAACATGTCATGTAAACTATGATTAATTTTGCGTTAAGAACCAACTCCACATGTTATCATGTAAGGCAATGTGCATACAAAATGTCACCCGAACGCCTCCTCTGGATACACCACTGATGATCATATAAAACTTGAACCATCAAATGTAAGGCCGGTTCACTATGTGATTGACACATCCAGCATGTCCAGAAATTCATTAATCCAGACGATTCCTTTAAAAATGAAAGTGTCTGGAAAAGTGGGGTTGCCCTGTATTCCACATCACATAGCTTTACCATGACATCACATAACTTTACCATGACATCACATCGCTTTACCATGACATCACATAGCTTTACCATGACATCACATTACTTGACCATGACATCACATAGCCTTACCATGACATCACATTATATTACCATGACATCACATTACTTTACCATGACATCACATTACTTTACCATGACATCACATAGCCTTACCATGACATCACATAGCTTTACCATGACATCACATTACTTTACCATGACATCACATTATACATTACTTTACCATGACATCACCTTACTTTACCATGACATCACCTTACTTTACCATGACATCACACTGCTTTACCATGACATCACATTACTTTACCATGACATCACATTGCTTTATGACATCACATTATGTTACCATGACATCACATTGCTTTACCATGACATCACATTGCTTTACCATGACATCACATTACTTTACCATGACATCACATAACTTTACCATGACATCACATTACTTTACCATTATATCACATTGCTTTACCATGATATCACATTTCTTTACTATGACATCATATTACTTTACCGTGACATCACATAACCTTACCATGACATCACATAGCTTTACCATGACATCAAATTACTTTACCATGACATCACATTGCTTTATGATGACATCACATTACTTTACCATGACATCACATAGCTTTACCATGACATCAAATTGCTTTATGATGACATCACATAACTTTACCATAACATCACAACTGAAGCAATCTGGCAAATTTGTGCCCAAACTGTTCAGTCTACTATTTGTTTTATTAGACTCAGGCTTTGGGACTTGTGACTAAATTCGCAGATTGGAATGGAAATGTCTAGCCTTGCACTCAGTAACTAAAATGAATACAACTATGATTCTAAGTAAAGGTAGTATAACATAGATTCATGAGTTAGATTCAAACACTTAAACCTGAAGCCATTGCTTATACTAGTCAGCCTATGGGTGGTCAGGAAAGCAGTATCTCCAAGTAGATATCATGTGATACCACATAACAGGAACCAGGATTGGATTAACAAATCGATCTCGGACTGACCTGTGGATGTGGTGGATCATCGTTCGACTCGTTCAGGTGGAACATGAGTTTCATATGTAGGCCCTGAACCAGAAACGTAGTCTGCATCTGAAAAAAAGACCAAATATATATGTCACCATTATTTACTTGGTGATATTATGACTCATCCATAAATGCATCAGACAGGCATCAATAATATGTGTTACCTGTCTCCCACCACTACTCCCCTATGTTACCTGTCTCCCACCACTACTCCCCTGTGTTACCTGTCTCCCCACTACTCCCCTGTGTTACCTGTCTCAGTCCACTACTCCCCTGTGTTACCTGTCTCCACCACTACTCCCCTGTGTTACCTGTCTCCCCACTACTCCCCTGTGTTACCTGTCTCAGTCCACTACTCCCCTGTGTTACCTGTCTCCACCACTACTCCCCTATGTTACCTGTCTCCCCACTACTCCCCTGTGTTACCTGTCTCCCACCACTGCTCCCCTGTGTTACCTGTCTCCAACCACTGCTCCCCTGTGTTACCTGTCTTCACCCTCACTACTCCCCTGTGTTACCTGTCTCCACCCCCACTACTCCCGTGTTACCTGTCTCCACCCCCACTACTCCCCTGTGTTACCTGTCTCCGATCTGCTCCCCTGTGTTACCTGTCTTCACCCTCACTACTCCCCTGTGTTACCTGTCTCCAACCCCACTTCTCCCCTGTGTTACCTGTCTCCCCACTGCTCCCCTGTGTTACCTGTCTCCCCACTACTCCCCTGTGTTACCTGTCTCCCACCACTGCTCCCCTGTGTTACCTGTCTCCCACCACTGCTCCCCTGTGTTACCTGTCTTCACCACTACTCCCCTGTGTTACCTGTCTCCACCCCCACTACTCCCCTGTGTTACCTGTCTCCCCACTGCTCCCCTGTGTTACCTGTCTCCCCACTACTCCCCTGTGTTACCTGTCTCCCCACTACTACCCTGTGTTACCCATCTCCCTGACTACTCCCCGGTGTTACCTGTCTCCACCCCCACTACTCCCCTGTGTTACTTGTCTTCACCCTCACTACTCCCCTGTGTCACCTGTCTGCACCCCCACTACTCCCCTGTGTTACCTGTCTCCCCACTACTCCCCTGTGTTACCTGTCTCCCACCACTGCTCCCCTGTGTTACCTGTCTCCCACCACTGCTCCCCTGTGTTACCTGTCTCCCCACTACTCCCCTGTGTTACCTGTCTCCTCACTACTCCCCTGTGTTACCTGTCTCCACCCCCACTACTCCCCTGTGTTACCTGTCTCCCACCACTGCTCCCCTGTGTTACCTGTCCCCCCACTACTCCCCTGTGTTACCTGTCTCCCCACTACTCTCCTGTGTTACCTGTCTCCAACCCCCACTACTCCCCTGTGTTACCTGTCTCCACCCACTGCTCCCCTGTGTTACCTGTCTCCACCCCCACTACTCCCTGTGTTACCTGTCTCCAACCCCCACTACTCCCCTGTGTTACCTGTCTCCCACCACTGCTCCCCTGTGTTACCTGTCTCCCACCACTGCTCCCCTGTGTTACCTGTCTTCACCACTACTCCCCTGTGTTACCTGTCTCCACCCCCACTACTCCCCTGTGTTACCTGTCTCCCCACTGCTCCCCTGTGTTACCTGTCTCCCCACTACTCCCCTGTGTTACCTGTCTCCCCACTACTACCCTGTGTTACCCATCTCCCTGACTACTCCCCGGTGTTACCTGTCTCCACCCCCACTACTCCCCTGTGTTACTTGTCTTCACCCTCACTACTCCCCTGTGTCACCTGTCTGCACCCCCACTACTCCCCTGTGTTACCTGTCTCCACCCACTGCTCCCCTGTGTTACCTGTCTCCCACCACTACTCCCCTGTGTTACCTGTCTCCCACCACTACTCCCCTGTGTTACCTGTCTCCACCCCCACTACTCCCCTGTGTTACCTGTCTCCACCATTACTCCCCTGTGTTACCTGTCTCCCACCACTACTCTCCTGTGTTACCTGTCTCCCACCACTACTCTCCTGTGTTACCTGTCTCCCACCACTACTCCCCTGTGTCACCTGTCTCCCACCACTACTCCCCTGTGTTACCTGTCTCCCACCACTACTCTCCTGTGTTACCTGTCTCCCACCACTACTCCCCTGTGTTACCTGTCTCCCACCACTGCTCCCCTGTGTTACCTGTCTCCCACCACTACTCTCCTGTGTTACCTGTCTCCCACCACTACTCCCCTGTGTTACCTGTCTCCCACCACTGCTCCCCTGTGTTACCTGTCTCCCCACAACTACTCCCTGTGTTACCTGGAAGTACACCATCCAGTAGGGGATGAGGACAGCAAAGACACACAGGACCTTCTTCAGCTCCTTCACATCCTCCACCAGGGAGTCATGGAACACTCCACCATGGCGATGTTTGGCATAGTCCAAGAAACTCAGCCTCTCATGGAGTGGCTCAGCCTCATCCACCATCCTGGAGGTAGAAACAGCACTGTCAAGTGACAACAGCAACCTCTGACTCACACCTGGCGTGTGTTGTATAATGCCACACTCAGTAACATTCAAGCGGTCAGTAAATGAGTCTAGACCAGACAATCCAGAGAAGGATATTGTGAACAATGAGCCACACCGCTGACATGCAATCAACCAAGTCACCATGACCACCCAATCCATTACGTCGCCTCTTATGACCGGCATAGATTGCTGGGGACTAATTCTTACCCAGAATCCCCTGAGGTTATAGCATCCTGACAGAAGATGCTAATCACCAACATCGTATTTGCAGTGACATAAATCTATATCATAAGTTGCAGCAGTTTCACAAGGGGTAACCGTGGTTTCATGTGTCCCTTGTTGGGCTTATTACCACAAAGAGGGATGCTTAAAACCACATAAACACCAACTGATGCCGCTACAATGAATTATCTTGCCAACATGTTTCAATCTGCCTTTATAAAAGGGTTAAAACAAATTCAAAACTGATAGAAAACAGCTGTTTGATTGAGCTGAAGTTAACTTGTGCTGCGTCTTGGACTTTCATTGACTCATAAACAACATGCAGCTTTTTTGCTTCGCAACAAGAGATTTAATCTCCCGCTCAGAAATGTATTTCCCTCCAAGGCAGGATAAGTCATATTTCATCAAGATTAAATGAGTGAGTGAGTGAGTTAGTGAGTTGGGTTTAACGCTGCTTTTAACAGTATTCCAGTTATATCACGGCGTGTCAGCTTAATGTGGGAGGAAAGCCCGAAGTGATGCAGGTCTCAGACGTTTACCACTTTGGTGAAACCCACGGGCACGGGTATGGTGCTGACAAACCTAGAAACATAATCGGGGCGAACTGGGAACAGGGATTCGAACACAATCATAGGTTTCTGGTGTGCCCAGGGAAGCAACTCTGCACAGCGAATCGCGGCGCCTTAGACGACTGGGCCACCCGTGCCCCCCTTCAAGATAACATGAACCAATCAGATCTCAACACTCTGAATGGAGGAAACATAGAAATCTTTGACTGTCTCATCCTCCCTAGAGGTGTAACGATATGGGAGGGTCGCGATACGATACGTATTGCGATACAGGGGTCGCGATACGATACGTATCACGATACAGTGTTAACTGGTACAAGCTAAGCCAAGTTGATGTCTTTCTGCTCTCTAAAAGATGTGACAAGTACAGTTGAAGAAGATATAAGGTGTTTATTTACTGTTATAGCAAATTGTCAGCAATACTGTATGTTTTACTGAAACAACAAACTGGCTTTGAAACTGTTAAACGTGTTTCATGTTTAAAAGTAAACTGTGTTATGAAAATATGGTATGTATCGCTATACATGCTTTCCAAATCGATGCATCGTATCGTGGGCTGTGCATCAGGATACAATACTGTATCGCCATACCGTTACACCACTAATCCTCCCAAACAAGTGACAGGTCATAAGCATCTTAGTGACTTTCCAAAATTGATTTAATCGAATCCAAGATCAATTCTTCAAAGTGAAATTATGGAGCCATGAACATAAACCTCCTCCTCCTCCTCCCCATCCTCTTTGTCTCCAGGGCTGGCATTTCGGTAAACCTACATTAACCTCTTGATCTAGTCCCATGGTTCTCGTGATCTCTAATTACCCGCCCTTGATATTCATTGACTTTATACCAACCAATCAAACGTCGAGATAATGAAATACGAAATCGGTAATGTTGGAGGACATGAACACATCCTTTCCATCAAAAATATGTTTAAGGGTTTTCTTTTGCATGTCAGTCAGTTTTTCAATGTTGAGTTTCTTGTAAACTCTATCGTAATCAGAGGGACTGGCTACAATGTTGTTGATATTGCCACACCAACATTGAGTCTGGTTTCTGACTCACAATTCTGATTGGTCTGTGAGTAGTGCAGCAAGTTAAATTGGCCAATGAATATCAATTTGAGTTCGCGAGAACCATGGGAATGCATCCAGGTGTTAGTATAGGTTTACCGAACTAGTGAGTGAGTTTTACGCCGCTTTTAGCAATATTCCAGCAATATCATGGCGGGGGACACCAGAAATGAGCTTCACACATTGTACCCATTTGGGGAATCAAACCAAGGTCTTCAACGTGATGAGCAAACGCTTTAACCATGAGGCTACCCCGATGCCCTCTTACCGAAATATATATAGAAGATGCCACATTCCAAAATTTAAAAACAATATGCCCTACAGAGAAAGAGTTTGCTGTGATCGACTTGAAGTACTTACTTTCCACCAGTTATTGACTTTGTGCGATAGTCCCGGCGTCTTCGACGTCGCATCCGAAAAGCTTCACGGATGATTCGGAAAATGTTTGTCAGTATACTTCCAGCAGCTGGTCGTCGTACATAACAACAGCCACCTGAACAACACAAAACAACCTAATACAACAAATTACATCTGAACAACATCCTCATTTACGTCGAAACAACATCCTCAAATATGTCTAAACGACATCCTCAATTACGTCGTAACAACATCCTCAGTTACGTCTTAACAACATACTCAATTATGTCTTAAAAACATCCTCAATTCCGTTGAAACATCCTAAATTACGTTAAAACATCATCCATTACGTCGAAACAACATCCTCAATTACGTCGAAACAACATCCTCAATTACGTCTAAACAGCGTTCTCAATTCTGTCAAAACATCCTCAATTATATCAAAACAACCTCCTCAATTACGTCTAAACAACATCCTCAATTACATCTTAACAACATCCTCAATTACTTCAAAACAACGTCCTCAATTACGTCGAAACAACATCCTCAATTACCTTTAAACAACATCCTCAATTACGTCTAAACAACATCCTCACTTACGTCCATGAATGTGATGTGATATTATGTAAGGTTATGATCTTTCACATATTTTGACTCATCACACCTTGTGTTTTTATGTTGTAATCTATTTGTCTTTACTTGACCTCTATCCAGACACGCAACACATATTTCTTTTAAGATCACCTATTAGGGGAGGACGGTCGTGTTACTTGTCAATGAGGATTTTTACTTTTCTCTCAGCACAAAATTGTCTCCGCGAAGAGGAATAGCGTGAATTTCGAAGGCTGAACAGATGGACTCATACCAGTACTTTCTGACTGTCTGCCGCATTTGTGTAACACCACACTCAGCAGCATTCCAACTATAGGATGGCAGTCTGTAAATAATCAAGTCTGGACCACACAATCCAGTGATTGACATGTTGTTATTGTTGTTTGCTGTTTAAACCCACACTGAGCAATATTTCAGCTATATGATGGCAGTCTGTACATAATTGAGTCTGGAGCATGAGCATGAGCATCGATCTACGCAACTGGGATGGGATGACTTGCATCAACCAAGTCAGTGAGCATGGTGAGCCTGACCACCCAACTCTGTTAGTTGCCGCTTATGACAAGCATGGCTTGCTGAAGGCCTATTCTAACCCAGGGCCCACTCGCACAAAGCAATCTTAGCACTACAACTATTGTAATCCCCTATGTTAAAGTATGGGAGTTATGATCATCTTAGTGCTAAGATCCCTTTGCGCAAGTGGGACCAGATCTTTACAGGTGATTGACATCATAAGAATCAATCCATGCAACTGGGAAATCAATGACATGCAATCTACCAAGTCACCAAGCCTTACCGCCTGATCGACTGAGTTGCCCTTACAAACACAGACGGCTGTGGAACAGTACTGTAAACCTTGAAATTAACGCGACCGTGAATTATATGCGAAAAATGCGAGAGTGGTCTTTGCTCGCTTTTTTAAACATCGCATTTATATCAACAATAAGACTTGACTGAGGACATTTTCTTTAGATAGAAATCCACTCATGCTTGAGAGGAGGTGGTGTCGCATTCATATTGAGTCGCATTTTTGGCTAGGGTCCAGTGGTCGCATTCTTTTGGAGACGCATTAATTTCACAATTGACAGTATTCTTCCCCTCAATCCTCCTGTCTACCTACCCAGTATAAAGATGATGGCCCCCACAGACAGACACACACAGGCTGACAGGTAGCCGTAGAAGAAGCTCTTCATCTGCTCCACCCAGGTGATGGCGAGCAGCCCGATGAAGGCGCCCAGGTTCACACACCAGTAGAACCAGTTGAAGAAACCGAGTGTCACCTGTTGACCCTCCTGATTCACCTGCATCAAACAGACATGGACACTTCATACTTACAGAAGTTACCAATGACTTTCCATTCTGAGATAAAGCAGTCACATAAAATATAGACAGAAACACACACACACACACACCCCCACCGCCAACCCCATCTTCACGAGGTAAGAGAGTTAACTGACTATCAAAGTCCAGTTTCCACCTTTGCCAAACTAGGCTGGTATTATGGAGTTACATTTTGCCTGGACTAACGAGTCTATGCATAGTCCAATCAATATCGCGCCCCGAAAACGAAATCCGGTTGGTAAACTGGCATGCAGATTTCGGTCGATTGCAGGATTTGCAAAGCATTTGCACCGCCAACCTGTTGTCAGCATATATTTTCCAAATTTTTTCATGTTTTTAATCAAGGTGCTCAGGTGATTTGATGCATTTCGCTATGTAAGTCCCGTTTTATCACAATATAGATCTTGATTATCGATTATCGGCGCCACCATTTTGTGTGAAGCAAACACAAGTGATGAGAGAGGTGGAATCTGATTGGTCCATAGGAGAGGCTTAAAAGGGACATAACTGGTAATAGCCACTGGTGGCCAAGTAATGCCAGCCAAGTTCGGCAAGGGTGGAAACTGGACTTTTAAAGTCAGTTAACACCCTTGCCTCGGGAAGATGCCCCAACCCTTTCCTAGCCTGATTGTTGTTACCCTGGAGCTCGGCATTAAGGGGATAAAACAATGACTGGTCTGTTCGGAGTCTGTACACTGTGTCTGAGTGGGGTATTCATGTTAAAACTGTGGCATCTCAGCACTATAAAAAACGACATTAGTCGGGTTAGACTAGCACAATCGTGCATGCACTATAAGTTTTTGGCAAAGTTTTTGCAAGACCTGATCATATAAACCATAGTTATGATAATAAGTGTTTAGTTGTTTGTTTGTTGTTTAACGCCGCACTCAGCAATATTCAAGCTAAATGATGGTGGTCTGTAAGTAATCGATTCTGAACCAGAGAATCCAGTGATTGACATCATGAGCATCGATCCATGCAACTTGGACATGAAGACATGTATCAACCAAGTCAGTGAGCCTGACCACCTAATCCTGTGAGTCGCCTCATGACAAGCCTAGTCGCCTTTTACGGCAAGCATGGGTTGCTGAGGACCTATTCTACCCCGGATCTTCACGGGCCTAGTTGTTTGTAAACGTATGTCTGCTAAGCATGCTTATGAATGTGCACCAGTTCAACCTACTATTGAAAAATGCAACCTAATATTTTCGGCTGCATGAGCCAAGTCAAAATCTTTCAAATTTATGTCTAACCCTTACATGTCCTCACTACATCGGTCTTTGAACACACTCAATACCTCTAAGCTATGTTAACCACATTACATCACTAGTATCAGTGTCATGCAGAATTTGTCATGATTTTGGGGGCTTGACGTCAAACTGTGGGTACTTCAAGATTAAGTGAGTGAGTGAGTTGGGTTTAATGCCGCTTTTAACAGTATTCCAGTTATATTGCGGCGTGTCAGCTTTATGTGGGAAGAAAGCCCGAAGTGATGCAGGTCTTAGACGTTTACCACTTTGGTGAAACCCACGAGCACGGGTATGGATGCTGACAAACCTAGAACATAATCAGGGCGATCCAGGATTCGAACCCATGATTATAGGTTTCGGGCATGCCCAAGGGACGCATCTTTGCACAGCTGACTGAACTGACTGTATGAGTGAGTGAGTGAATCAGGTTTTTTGCCGCTTTTAACAGTATTCCAGTTATGTCATGGCATGTCAGCTTTATGTGGGAAGAAAGCCCGAAGTGATGCAGGTCTCTGACGTTTACCACTTCGGTGAAACCCACGAGCACGGGTATGGTGCTGACAAACCTAGAAACATAATTGGGCGAACCAGGATTCGAACCCACAATCATAGGTTTCTGGCGTGCCCAAGGGATGCAACTCTGCACAGCGAATCACGGCGCCTTCGACGACTGTGCCACCCGTGCCCCCTCAAGATTAAGTGCATGTTTCAGCTTGATACATTTATAGAACCGGGTCCATTCTGGTTTTGAATGGTGCAGCTAGGATTTCATGTCCACAAGCAACTGGTGTAAGTTATATTCAAGTTATATTCAAGTTCCTCTGATAAGGTCTCAAAATAAGCATTGGGTATTTTGTGCCAAGCCTGCCCAAGAATCCCCACAGGTGTTCATTATGATTATGCTGATAGATAATGGTATCTCCTTTAAATCACAGTATGATGAGTGACCGTGGTTTTACACCGCTTTTTAGCAATATTCCAACAATATCTGGGCTGGCGATACCAGAAATGGGCTTCACACATTGTACCCATGTCGGGAATCGAACCTGGGTCTTCGGCGTGATGAGCAAACGTTTTAACCATTGGGCTACCCAAACGCCCCCCGAAACATGATGAACCGACTTGTTTTACTGTAAAATTAACTTCTATATGGCTCAAATCTTTATAAAATGTTTAAAAAATGACTTCTCTTGTGCCATGCTGAACATGTTTAATGACAAAATCCCATGAGTAAAACTGATACTCCTTGACTGGTTTCAGGTTCCTGCTAAGGGCAAGAGCATGAAGACAGCAGCATTCTACCATGAATTTGGTAATAACTTGTTTCTGATTGTCTCAATCAGAGGCTATTAAATCACAATAAACCCCCTCTGATTGAAACAGCCGGTTTTCAATGTAGAGCTAGGTGACCTGTAGATTTAACAGCGCTAAATTGAATTTGGAATCGAACAAGCTTATTTGGAACCGAACACGCTTATCTCCTAATTAAACAGTATTTCAGTTATATCAAATGTATGCAGGTGATGTATGTCCTATACGTTTACCATTTTGTGAAATCCATAAGCATGGATATGGTGCTGACAAACCTAGAAAATAAATTGTAGCACTCTGTCACGCCATACCAAAAAGACATGAAAAGATGGTACATGCTGTTAATCTGCCTGGCGCTAGGTATTAAAATGATGAAGGAGATAAATCAAGTCAGTACACTGTTTCTGAGTGGGGTATCCATATTAAACTGCAGCATGGTATCTCAGTGGGCCAGTACCATAAACATGGCGTTAGTCCGGATAATCACAAGCAGCCACACACATGCCTGTCGCTATATAAGCGCAATACTCTTGAACGTAACGTAAATCTCAATTAGATGGTAACAGGTCATTTCGTATCTTTCTTTCATTTCACAGTTTGGCCCCTTTAGTAGGTTTCGTATCTTGGCAGTTTCGTATCACTTCAGGGCTGTTGAATTCAATGACTATGTGGTTGTTAACTGGGTTGACGAAGGAGCACGATTCCTGATGCGATTGTGGAACCATCACTCAACGATAGGTCCAAGAACAAATAACAGATCGACTATGGTAGGAGTAGAAAACGAGTAGAAAACGAGTAGAAAACGAGTCTACCGAGAGGTAGAAAATCGCTTGTGCCGATTAAAAGAAAATTTCGCCCAGGGATCAAAAACACCCATCCAATACATGGATGCTGTTGGTCATCTTTTGAAACTTGGCTAGTGACTTATTGTGATTATCATCTGACTGATTAGTAAAACAAAATGTATATAAATATTCTTGGGGTTATTCCATTTAAATGACAAAGGCAACAGGCAGGGGATTAGGTATGCATTCAACTGTGAACTTTGTTGTTATAAGCAGTAGGCTTTTGGGAGGACACTGAAATCTGTTTGTGAGGGTAACAGTAATGTACAAATCCAATAATTTTAATATTAATATCTTCTTGTAATTAGCATAAGCTGCATTTCCAAACAACACAGTTTGATATTAAAGCCATTGATATAAAAATAACAAGTTGATCTGATATCAAAATAATTCAAAGAAGGGAATAAATAATGAAAATCTGTAAAACCTGTGTTCGAATCAAAGAACAACCCCCTATGGTGAGTGCTGGGTAATGCTAACAGCTCCTTAATACACTTGTTTTTATATTGCTTTTACTTCTGTTTGAACAAGTTTATATGTTATATGTATCATGTGTCCATTGTTTTTAAAATAAATGTTTGAAGTTTGTATATCTAGTAACTAACACAGCATTATTGCTCAACAAAACACACACACACACACACACACACACACACACACACACTGTTTATATGAAACTGTCTAGATACGAAACAAACTATAGGCATGAACACACACACACACACACTGTTTATATGAAACTGTCTAGATACGAAACAAACTATAGATGGCGAAACTGTCGAGATACGAAACAAACTCTAGATGGCGAAACTGTCGAGATACAAAACAAACTGTAGGTGGCGATACTGTCGAGATACGCTTAAACTATAGGAAGTGAAACTGTCGAGAAACGAAAGAAACTGTAAGTGGCGAAACTGTCGAGATATGAATATACCGTTATACGGAATGACACTAAACCATTAGATGTCACCTCTACTCACCTATTAGTGGAAAATTAAAGTGACATCCACAGTTACAGTACTCACCTGATCTGCTCCAAATGGAGCAATATTTGCTTTGAATGAGCCATTTCCTACAGCAATGACTGTCAGGACAATGAAGATGAGCCAGGCACATTTTTCATCAAATGGATTCTTGTCATTTGAGTCACTGAGATCAAAGTCATGCGTGTGAATTCTATGAGATATCGGTGTGACGTTGTGGATTCGGCAGACGTCTGGCAAATAAAGGGACTTGCTGTCGTCCTTTGGTGACAATAGAGGCATAAAGGCATACCCAACTATATAAATTACTAGCGCTACTATGATAGCCTTGAATCTTCCAAACACTGAATCGGCCAACCATCCTCCAAATAATGAAGTCACAAACGAGAGACCTAGAAAATAAAAGGAAGCGTTCATCGCATGATAAGACTCCCATGTGAACGGTTGGCTGTTGAGAAATAACACTAAATTTCCAGCAAGCGCATAGAATGCCAGTCTTTCCAAAACGACTGACAACAGGATCGCCCCACAGGCAGATCGAACAGACCACAAACTATTTCGAGTCCTGGTTGGGCCCAGAGAAAGTTCTTCATTTCTACGAGGGAGCAGGGCACGGCGTTCGTCTGACATGGCGGCGAATATGAAATTTGTGTATTGCTGCTGTCCAAGTTGTACTTGTCACTGGTTAAATCGTATCATCACGTTAACAAACTTTCTCAAGGCGCGACGAACTTTGTTGTTGTACAACGCCATCTTTCCTTACAATGTCATGTGATCAAAGGTCATGTGATCTACAGCAAGTTATGGTATGAACCAATCAAATTTATGATGACGTCATGAAGAAGACATGAAAAAGGATTACCCAAGGTAAACCCTCGGATGATCTCGGACAGCTTCATACAACCAGAGACCATAATATATATATATATATATATATATATATATATATATATATATATATATATATATATATTTATATAATCTATTATATGGACTTCCTTATGAACTACTGTGTGTGATATAATCAGAGTACTTTTGATTTTTGCGTCCATCTTGCTCGAGAAATATTTTTCCATCACTAACGTCATCTATTTGGCTATCAGTGATGTCATCCATTTGAATGTCCACTAGATCTAGGTCACCAATAGCATATATTTGACAGTCATCTATTCAGTAGTTTCTAATAGTTTCTAGTTTCTAATGTCAACGAATAAAGGCCCAACGACCAAACAATAAGAAATTTAGTTTATTATGATATTGTGGTCACAATTATAGAATACTATCCAATTTTTATTGAAGAGTCTACCGTATAAACTACACATTATTATTGTCTCGTGAACATCCGGGTTATTAGTGGTCACTGGATTATTTACAGACCGTCGTCATAGAAGTGGACTATAGCCCTGTGCAGCGTTAAACAAACAAACACATCATTTGTCCACTTCGAAGTCTACCTGCATTTGATAATCAGCACGTTTGCTATGAGATGTATCTGTTGGATATATATGTAAAGATATATCGGAATATATTGACAAGAGACCCGTGAAGATCCGGGGTAGAATAGGTCTTCAGCAACTCTTTCTTGTCGTAAAAGGCGACTAACGGGATCGGGTGGTCAGGCTCGCTGACTTGGTTGATGCATGTCATCGATCCCAATTGCGTGGATCGATGCTCATAATGTCAACCACTGGATTGTCTGGTCCAGACTCGATTATTTACAAACAAACACACATTGACAAGATTTAGATGTTCCCCTCTTGCGCTATTCATCGAGAGTGGACGCTGTACTGTGGTTCCAAAATCAGAAACATTATGTTATTTTGTAACATCCAAGCTACCACGGACGAACTCCACGTCTTCGTAGTGAGTATTTTAAGTCAATGTGTAAAATATGATTCACTTAGGCAATTTACAAAATGCCTAAATATTTCTATCATTTCACAAATTGACTGAAAGATCTGTCAATTCGTTTGACAAATTGACTAAAATTATAAAGTTCAAAAGGGCCTCAAAAGCACAATATACTAATTATGTTATGATTAGACGCCAAAAATCGGAAAATATACATCGACTTTCATTTTGCTTTTAATCTTATCGATTTCAGTTACTGGGTGCTAAAATTAAACATAAAGATGTTTGAACTTAATAATCATCCGATAATAAAATATATAATGACAGATTTTTCAGCTAAATTGTAAAATAGCTGAAATATTTAGGAGTTTTGCAAATTGATATTTGAAAAGTTGAGTCATTTTACACAATGAGTGTGACATGCGCACGTTGCTCCACAATGAATGAGTGAATAAGTTGTGTTTAACGCCGCTTTTAACAGTATACCAGTTATATCACGGCTGTCAGCTTAATGTTGGAAGAAAGCACAGATTTCTGGCACACACAGGCGACAGCGAATCGTGGTGCCTAAGAAAACAGGGCCATCAATGACCCCTGCAATATGAAGATATTAATACTTTGATATAAACATATACACGTTACCACAAAATAGTGTATTTTGTACATAAGAATAAGACACAATTTACAAGGGACGCAACTCTGCACAGCGAATCGCGGCACCTTAGACGACTGGGCCATCCGTGCCCCCCCCCCCCCCCATGAAGAAAAAGTTATCCCCGTGTACAACATGAAGGGCCAAATGTGTTATGCATTCATTGCCATTCAAGTATCTATATCAAATGCTATTAATATAAGTTAATCATACATGACTACTTACCACGCAGTATGTTTCACAGTCCCTGAACTCCATTATTCCCAACTCTTACTTCAATGAAAAAGCTCTAAATGAAGCAAGTCTAGATTTCCCATATAGGTTCAGTGTATGAATCTCCGATCTCGTTGGGGCTCCTTTTCAGCTTATATGGAGTTATATAAAAAATACAAGTATATATATTTTTTTAAAGAGACAAAGTGTTGCCTCATTTACCACGCATTGTTGTAATTTTTTGTTGTTGATAAACCCATTACGTGTACGTACGAGCAACACCTCTGTTCTATATTCATAGATGTGGCTTTAATTTAGTGCCCGAATAAAGGTTGATACAACCACACATATCATCGCTTTTTCGAAGCAGATAAAGACTCACACTACGAAACGTAATTAATTAATTATGCTAGTACATAGATCGAGGTTGGAGACAAAGGTGGCCCCAAACAAATATTTGTTTGTAAACCACACCCCTTCTAATGCAGGGCATCTTATGAAACGGTCGGACCAACACAAGGAAACTTCTGTATAACGATAACCAAAGTTCTACTTGTCGAACAAACCTATTCTACACACACCGCCGCCCCTATCAAATTATTCTCTGGCGTCTGGAAGAATGATCATCTTTAAGACCTGTGAGTACATTTAATCAAAATCTGCAGCTTAAAACAGCACTCACTCTTCTTTGTAATTCGGCTGTTCTCACTCACTCACTCACTCACTCACTCACTCACTCGACTGTGCTCCATCAGGTACTATTGGTTGGTTGGTTGGTTTGTTGTTTAACGCCGCACCCGAACCCGTTAGTGGCCTTTTACGACAAGCATAGTAGCCTTTTACGGCAAGCATGGGTTGCTGAAGACCTATTCTACCCCGAAATCTTCACGGGTCGTCATGCTAAGGAAAAGTATTACAGTGGGTGAATCGCGATAAGCTGCACCCACTGACCTACGTTGGGTTCAAAACCCGGGTTTTCATCATAAAGATCGTTCTGCAACCACCCATCATGTACTAGAAGTTATTTAAACATAGCAAGTTTAGTGTAAAATTATATTTGTATTGAAGCTATTTGGGCCCAGAGTGACTACCTGATATTGATTCTGTGTTTATTACATTTCCTCATATGTCTAGAACACGTGACACGAGCACGGTATACGCAATGCTAGACACAAAGACAATGCTAGTGCAACAATGTCATGTGAACGCTTTGACACGTCCGTTGCATAACTGAAAATAATTTCCATTAACAATCAATACTTCCGGATAGAAAGCCAGTTGACAATTGCTAAAGAACTATATGCATTCGGAGGAAGTCCGTTATTAGGCTTTTGAAAGGAACGGTGTCATTGTGACGACCCATAACGGTCCTGTCCACACTACCATTAAGGCCTTTAATGTCGTAAGAGGCGACTAACGGGATCAGGTGGTCAGTGAGTGAGTGAGTGAGTCTGATTTTACGCCGCTTTTAGCAATATTCCAACAACATCACGGCGGGGGACACCAGATATGGGCTTCACACATTGTACCCATGTCGGGAATCGAAGCCGGGTCTTCGGCGTGACGAGCGAACGCTTTAACCACTAGGCTACCCGACCGCCCGATCAGGTGGTCAGGCTCGCTGACTTGGTTGATGCATGTCATCGTATCCCATTGTAGTGAGGACATGTAAGGGTTAGATAAAAATTTTAAAGATTTTGACCGAAAATATTAGGTTGCATTTTTCAATAGTAGGTTGAACTGTTGCACGTCCATAAGCATGCTTAGCAGACAAACGTTTACAAACAACTAGGCCCTTGAAGATCCGGGGTAGAATAGGTCTTCAGCAACCCATGCTTGCCGTAAAAGGCGACTATGCTTGTCATAAAAGGCGACTAACGGGATCGGGTGGTCAGGCTCGCTGACTTGGTTGATGCATGTCATCGTATCCCGTTGGCGTGGATCGATGCTCATGATGTCAATCACTGGATTGTCTGGTCCAGACTCGATTATGTACAGACCGCCGTCATATAGCTGGAATATTGATGAGTGCGGTGTTAAACAACAACCAAACAAATATAAATTACTATTTACATAATTAATTGGTTTATGGTATTTTTACAGGACCATAGGTCCGATAGTAGAAAATACAATAAATATTGAGATACACACGATTCTTTCAAGTGATACCTTAAATGTAGACAAACCAAAGGGTTTCTGAACAACGCTGTTTTTCCATTAATAAAGCTTGTTGAGGCACAAAGAAAAAAATAGGCTGTTATAAAAGATAATTTTTATGTACATTTATAAAATGTTTGTCCAACGGGTGTGTACTCCAATTAATTAGAGCTGAACCACATTACCTTTCCATTCAGTAAAAGCTGTTCTAAGTGTGGTGAATCAGATGCACTGCATTCATACCGTATTGTAATGCCCTATTATGGAAACGCCGGAGGGATTCCGAGCTTATTCGACGAACCGGCAGTAAAATCCATGTCTGGTCTAAGGGACATAACTCTTGATAGCATGTACGTCAGGTATATTCGGGCCAATAACTTCTCCACTAATATGAACATTAAAAATATAGTTGAGCCTGTTTGTGAGCAACTTTAAGTTTTGGGCTGGTAGAAAAGCTATTTTCATACAAATATCCATTCCTCTGACATGACTGACAAATACATCGTTATATTTTTATTTGATGATGACTTTTGCATATTTTGTAATAAAAAATCATAATGCGCCAAATCAACACCCTAGAATATGCCCAAGGGCTACATTATTACCCCGGTCAATGGTTCCTTGGGAGTATGGAACCCAAGCTGGGTGTGAGGCGCTAGAAGGTTAACAGTCCCGTTACCATCTTATTCCACCGGGTACCCATTCACTGCTGGGTAAACAGGAGCACAATAAGAACAGAAAGGGGGCACGGGTGGCCCAGTCGTCTAAGGCGCCGCGATTCGCTGTGCAGAGTTGCCTCCCTTGGGCATGCCAGAAACCTATGGTTTGGGGTTCGAATCCCGGTTCGCCCCGATTATGTTTCTAGTTTGGCAGCACCATACCCGTGCTCGTGGGTTTCACC